AAGGTTTCACCAGAGACAGTGGAGAGCAGAACAGGTGGATTGAATGAAATACACTGCTGAGGGGAGCAGCAGGTGAGACAGGAGAGGTCTGCTGTACCATGTGAATCAGCTCCCTGGCTGGGCATCCAACCTATGCTGCAGCGGCTTGCGGATTGCTTTATAATGCTGAGACTTGACCCCTTGTGCCACCAGGGAGGCTACTAAATAAGAGTTTCTTCATCAAAAATCTAGAGTAAGTAGGAAAAATATATAACTAAATGGTAAATGTTATTTTGTACTTTTAATTAGAGTAATTTTTTTTAAAGAATTATTTATTCATACAGAACTGGGGTACAGGACAGAGATGCGGAAGGTGAGAGGATTCACCAGAGACAGCGTGGGGAGCAGAACAGGCAGATCGAGGAAGTACATTGCTGAAGGGAGCAGCGGGTGGGTCAGGAGAGGTCTGCCGCGCCATGTGGTCACCTCCAGGGCAGGCGGGAATCAAACTCATGCGGAAGTGGCTTTAAGCTTCTTAGTGCTGTGCTTTAGCCCGCTGCACCACCAGGGAGGGCCTAATTAGAGTAATTTTACTTGGGTAGTCTTTGTCAGATATATCTTTAATTAACCATAGCTTATCCTGCAGGGCTATACAAGAAAACTGGTAAATTGGTATTTCTTGGATTGGATAATGCAGGAAAAACCACATTGCTACATATGCTAAAAGATGACAGACTTGGACAACATGTCCCCACATTACATCCCAGTAAGTATATTCCTGGATGCTGTGTACTACTTTATTGGGTTATTCTCAAGCGTTAACCAAAAGTTTTCTATTTGAGTCTTTTTATTTGTAAACACATGATGATCAAGTGATTTGACCATTCTGAAAATAGTACAGTAAAATAATAGGTGATCCAGCTCATAGGGAACATATCTATATCTTGAAATAACATTCATTTCTTCCCCCCCCCCCCCCCACTTAGTATTCTCTTCTCCGGCTAGAAGAATTAAAAAATTAATGTCTGAGGAGTTATGACATGATTGAGGTCTACCCAACCAAACATTGCTTAGGTTATAGTCACCAACCACTACCTTACTTATATACCTGAATTTTTTTTTCAAATTTTAAAACTGTACTATTTCAGTTTTTAATTCAGTGGACTGATTATTGTCTTACAGTTCACTGGATACTCTCAAAAAAAAAACTCAGATTTTTCTAAGTTTTAAAAATTATTTTCTTAACTAGTACTTTTTCTAGTCCTGATAGATAATCTCACCAGTATCAAATATAGAAAACTAAAGAATTATTTCAAAAAACAAGGGAAACATTAAAACGCTCATAGAAAGTTTTACAAAAATTAAAACATAATCTGATGTACATTCTTTAAGAAAGACCACTTGGAAAACACTTGAAATCACTTAATATATACCATCCTGTGTATAAAATTATAGAATATAAACTGTTAAAGAAGTAAAGCAAATGTTAACGTGACAGAGTTAGTAGAAACAGAAGCATAACTTATAAATGACCTTGCTTTACAGTTGAAGACTACAAATCAGCTAGGCACAGAATTTATGGATAAGTTAATCCATTTTAATTTTGAAAAAGTAGTATGATCTTATTAATGAATAGACAACTGAGAATTAGACCAAAAAGTAGATACTATGACAGTTATTCAGTAAATATTCAAATAAAAACAAAGAATACACCAAAGTAGCATTTAATCTATAAAACTATTAGTGAGTGACATCGAAAAGCAAAATTTATAAAGTTAATGCATTTTTATATTAGAGAAGGGAATGTGGTTTGGCATGTAAGATTCTGATACAAGAATAATACTATTAAAGGAAAAATGGTCACGGTGAAATTGACTATATGAAATTGTTTGCAGAACCAGCAGAATTGTAAGATACTACAAAGTAGTCTTATATGTTAGTCATTTTTTAGTTTTTTGAAGTTGCTTCTTCATTTATTCAAGCACATTCAATCAAACCTTGTTCTAAGTCCAAAAGTAAAAGCAATGGTACAAAATAGATGCTGATCTGACAGCTTATATTAATTCAAGTTACATTTTTCAGTTCGTCAAAGCCCCCTATGACCTGGTAATTCCATTCATAGGAATTTATCCAGGAGAAATGTGAACATGTACAACAAAATTCTTGTATAGTAATGTTCATTGCCACTTTATTTGTAATAGCCAAAAACTGGAAACACCTCAGATGTTCATTTAAAAAAGAATCTATATATGGTGGTGGCACATGGGTGAACTGGTGGTAGGAAGCTCACGGGGATTATAAGATGGAAAATGATGTAAAGATAAACTATTATATTATTAAAAAAAATGAATCTATAAACAATAGGATGCTACTCGACAAGAAAAAGGAATAAACTCTTGCTAAAAAAAAAACTTGAGAAGGTGTTCAGAAAGTTTACTATTTGATGCTATTTACATGAAATTATAAGATTGGCAAAACTACCCTGAGGTGATAAGAAATCAGATCAGTGGTTGCTTCTCAAAGTGTAGGCAGGGACTGACTGGGGAAAAGGAAGTAGTCGTTCCTGGGATATAACAGTGTTCTTAATCAAATGGAACTTTTTTTGGAATTTTTTTTGTAAACTAGTTGGAATTATAACCATAAAGATAGTTTACCAACCACATATAAGCATTATTATTTCCTTATGGATAGTGACTTGGAACACAAATTGTACCTCATCCAGCTGACCAGACCTATATATACAGATTCTTTTTAACAAGGTAAATTATTCTGGGGCCTTGGTAGTCACACTGAATAGTTTACAGTTACCAGAAAACTAGACAAAAATTCATACACAACTGTTTTCAAATATTGGTAGGATGTGATTCTGCAGAACAGGAAAACAGCCCTTTCTGTATTCAAGTTTTATCACAGTGCAGGGAGAGAAAACCCAAATATAACCCAGTTGTCTTTATCAGGTGATATAGAAACCAGAATTTGGGGAATCTGAAGTGATTATAAGTGACTGGGCTGGGTACAAGAGAGGCAGGAGCTCTACAGAGAAAGAACTCCAGAAATTTATGTGACTGAAACTTTATGCACGCATAAGGTCAAACTTTTCATGACCAGTCATAGAACAGTATCTGGAGAAAGAGTAGTCATAGGAAATGTGTTAGCCAGCTAATTTCCAGAGCTCATGTAGAACTACAAGTCATTTTCTTCTCACCAGCTAGAATGGAGAGACTAGCTAATACATACCATTCAAGAGAGAGTCCAAAGGGACACTACTATGCAAATGTGACTAAAATAACCTCAAAATGAAGGCTGCCTTAGAGTTGCCCTAATTTACAAACAATTTTACTAACTGCCAAAATAAAATTAATCCCTCTTTCAGAGAATACAACAGAATCTACTATCAAAAAGTACTGAACGTGCAGGAAAATGTGATCCATTACCAGGAGAAAAATCAACTAGTAGAAACAAATCCAGAGTGACAAAGATGATAGAATTAGCAGATGTGTTAAAACAACTAATATGTGCATTGCTCATAGATTTACAGGTATATAATGAGAGAAGATATAAGACCAGAACAAAACGGAACCTCTGGTAATAAAAATACAGTAGCTGACATGAAATTTATATATTGTTTAAGATTAATGACCAATTAGACAGTGCCACTACTGCAGAAGGCTAGACCACTGAATTCAAGCGAATGTAATGAAAACTATGTAGAGTGAAGCATTTAGGGGAAAATGGAGACTCAGTTACTTGGGGGATGGTATCAAGCAGTCTGACAAACTTACCATTGACGTTCCAGCAGGGACTGGCAGAAAAAATACTTCAGTGGCCAAATTTTTTTATCAAAACTATGTCTTTAAAGGCTGTTTGTCACCTGTGAAAAAAGATAGCCATGAGAGAAAACCTATTTTACTGAAACTTTCATTGTAATTGCCATGGATTTCTGCTTTTGGTCCTGAGAAAGTAAGTCTGGAATTAGCCTTCCCATTGTAAATGACCAGAAAATTGTACAAGAATATATACAACTTTTTTTTCTGATATTGGGTTGTAGCTAGGCAGGGCTGTGATTCCTGAGAAGGAAAACACATTCCCCCCTTACTCAAGCTTTATCACAGTAAATATTTTTGCATCATTTCAGATGAATTACATTAAAAAAAAAAAAAGATTGGGGTAGTTATTTAAACTCACAGCAAATGTTCGTCTGACTAGATTAACATTTCAGCAGGAGAAATAGAGAAGGAAAAAAAGTAAGTGTTGGATTTGAGGTAGGTAGTGAATGTTTCTTTTTATAGTGTCAATTTGAATTGGAGTATATCTAATAAAAAGAATTCTGATATTTGATGTGATCTTATTTGCAGTTAAAGTAAGCGAAACATGAAAAAAAAGTACAAAATGATGTAAAAATAAACATATTATTAAAAAAAAGTAAGCCAAACATTAAATTTATGTACCCATAATTAATTTCTGATTTTCACATTGTAAATATATTTGTATTATTATTTAGCTTCAGAAGAATTAACCATTGCTGGCATGACCTTTACGACTTTTGATCTGGGTGGTCATGTTCAAGGTAAGGCTCTATTACTCATAGGTGCTTTTATCTAAATAAAAAAGTGGCTATTATGATCCAGTGCTTGAAATTTCATTCTATTCAATGAAGACTAGAATAGACTTAAAATTTAGGAATTATTACAGCCACACAAAAGCTTTAAAAGCAAAGGGTGATTTTCATGATATTCTTAGTCATTTTAAGTCTGAATTGCTTTTGGTGGTCAAGTATTGATTAATCTTTAGCTTTCACTCTCATCTCCCAATCCACAATTCACTTGTCATAATCATGTTACGAACATTTACACACTCCTATTCAAAACCTTCAGCATCTAACTCATCATCTACAAAATAAAAACTGGAGTTACTAACCTGGCATTTGGCATCCCTCTGATCTAATCCCCATTTGCTTTTCATGTCTTTATTTCCCATTATTCCCCTCCCCATTCTCCACTGAAACCAGACCCTCTTCATATCTTCTATAATCTCTGTGGGTTTTTTTTTACTCATGTTGAGCCCAACCGCAAGATAACCCACCTGCTGGACCAGAGGCTCCCTTCCCTGAGAAGTCACTCCCAGCTGTGAGTGCTCTCAATTATGCTTCTGTTGCACTCAGTGCTATGTGCATATGTCTACAAGTTTGGAAAGACTCCTATACTACATTTTCTGGCACTAAAATAATTATTTTTTATATTCCCAAAAGGACTTGACAGTACCCAGCATGTAGTAAGTCATAACTACCAAGTCGGTGAGCCTCCTAAAAACCTATTAGTTGAAAAGATTTTAAATTTAAATGGCTGTGGCTAAAGCATGAGACATGATAATTGTTTGAAATAAACAAATTTCTGGAATTAGATATCAATGGTATTTGTCTGAGACTTCATTTCTGTATTGTTTTTAACACTGTTCATAAAACTGAAGTTAGAGGAAAAAAGCTATTTTCCACTGGGCTACTTAAAAAAAACATTTCTCTAAAAAAAAAAAGTGGTTATGGGGACAATTATCTTCATGGTTTCATAGACTTTAATTTCTGTCATGAGTAGAATAGTTTGCCTCGATTATCTCATGTAACATACCTGTACTTGGTAGTCATTTCCTTCTATCACTGACTGTAAGTTTATCTGCTCTAAAACTGATAAGAAATGTGAAAAAACAAATATTGCAAATTTCTATAGTTGTCTTCAATTAACAACCTTAATGTGCAGCATTGTTCATTGATAGCAAATACTGATTCTACTTAGTAACATGGAAAACTGGGGTGGAGTAAAATATTTGACTTGCTCACAATCAAGGAGAGCCTAAAATTTCTTTTGGAAAGATTTTGCAATATTGGGTAAAAGATTAGCTATTAGTATGTATTGATCCTTCACTACATACACAAGTTAAAGGATAATTTGACATCTTGTTGGGCTCTTCTATCAAACCTCCTAGTAGGTTTTACTAGCAAATAAAATCTAACTCCTGATTGTTTTTTGTTAGCTCGAAGAGTGTGGAAAAACTACCTTCCTGCTATCAATGGCATTGTATTTCTGGTGGATTGCGCAGACCACGAAAGGTTGTTAGAATCAAAAGAAGAACTTGATGTAAGTTAACTAATTAAAACTAAACATAGTTGAAGGACTCTGATAAGCCTAAGGAAATAGTTTGGAGCTCTACATATAGGATTACAGCATTTCTGCAGGCTTAATGTAACTCCTGGCAATTTGTCTACTTCAGTGATTCTGTAAAATACAGGGGAGTAGCCTGGAGTAATTAGAGCTATTGAGGAAATGCTAACAGTCTTCCGTCCTGAAGCCTTCGGAGCTCACTCTGCAAGTATACTCTTGTGATATATTTCATGTCCGCTCCAGTCCCTGGTCATCTTAGGGTGCCAGTTTCTTCAGGAGTTGTCCAGGACTTAGAAATGGTATAACAAACCATCTTTGTGAGTATTGTCAGAAGAGAAAAAGGCTCTGTGGAGACACCGCCTCGCCCATCCCAGGTCAGGTAAAGTTACTTAGGAGCATCAGTCAAGGCCAGTGTTAGAGCTGAGACCAAGAAAAAAGCAGGTCCCTGGTTTGACTGAAGTTTGACCCGACTATGCCTCTGTCCATAGGAGGCCAACAAATACTGTTTCATATGGTAAAGTCTAGGTGAGTTCTGTGGTCATGAATTGGGTTCAGAAAGTTCCTGAATTATTATTTTGTGCCAGGCAGTGTGCACTTTACCTCAATTAATTCTTGAGTCAGCTCCATAAGGTAGGTGCTACTATTCCATATTCTCTCCTGGCTTCAGTGAAAACTAGATGTCTTAAGATCTCATAACTTGGAAGCAGCACAAGCATAAGCGAAATCAGGTCTGTCCACTTCCAAGGTGTTGGTTCTAGTCACTGCACCTCACTGATTCAGAGTGAGCATTTACAAATGGAGCCTTAAGGAGGAGAACTGTGCTTATGTCTTCCTTGGGTTCACTTTAAAATATAGGGTAAGTATACCAAAGGAAAATGAAAAACTGACATAATTATAAAGAAGTCCTTGATACCCATTTGGTATCCTGCCAAATACCTTCAGATGGTTTCATATCAACATCTGCCCTTTTGTTTTCAGTCACTAATGACAGATGAAACCATTGCTAATGTGCCTATACTGATTCTGGGGAATAAGATCGACAGACCTGAAGCCATCAGTGAAGAGAGGTTACGGGAGATGTTTGGTTTATTTGGTCAGACGACAGGAAAGGTAAAAAGAAATTTTGTTTTGACAAATGTATTTGTTGAATGTTGAATGTCAAATGACTGAAATGTATTTCATCCAGTAGTACAAATGTCTTTTACTATTATAATTACTATTGTTTATCTACACAAGCTCACTACTATCTTTTTTTCCGTAGAAGGGAAAAAACAAACACTGACTTAAACACTTGGGTCTTTTTTTTTTAATGCCCTAATTGGAAAGCTTTTCTTAATTCTTCTTCTTTTTTTTTATCTTTTCATGATTCTAACAAAAAAATCAAAGTTCATGCTTAAGATTAACTGAACGAAAGCTTTCAAAGTCTCCTTTTTCACTAATTTTCAAAATTAGCTACCTAATATGGTATACTTTAATCATAGCCATACTTATATCCCTTGCTCAGTATTTAGGCAATTTATTTCACCAGAAATAAGAATGCAAAAATAAGAATAGGAGGGTTTCTGAACAAACACTTTATAGTAAGTTCCAAGATGCATTTTTTTTTTTTTACTGGGACTTGTTTGGGAAGGCTCCTCAGTGTATTGAAAAATCCCAGATAAGCAGTGGAAGAATTCAAATTACCAACAGTTTTTTTTTTTCTGTGGTGTACATATACTTTCTAGGGAGAAAAATTCTGCAGCCAGGTGACTTTGTTGTATTTTCTGTCTTCCTTTTAGTAAGTCAAACTGCACATTAATTTTTGGAATTGCCTTTTAATTTAGGCAAAAACTTAATCAGAGAATTAAGCCTGTGAATTTAAATTTTTCCTTTAAAGATGTATTTATATATGCATACAGAAGTGGGGTACAGGCCAATGGTGTAGGGCAATGAGAGGATTCACTAGAGATAGAGTGGGGAGCAGAACAGGCTGATTGATGAAGTACACTGCTGAAGGGAGCAGCGGACAAGTCAGGAGAGGTCTGCTGCGCCATGTGGGTCACCTCCCTGACCAGTCATTGAACTCATGCTGAAGTGGCTGTGGCTAGCCTCGTAGTGCTGTGCTTTAATCTGTTGCACTACCAGAGATGGCCCAAACCTTAAATTTTTCTAAGTCAAAAGTTATTTTTGTTTTTGGTGCCTCACAAACTCACCTTTTTCACACTGAGTGGACATCTGACTAAGAAAGAAGGAGGCTTTTTGTGTGTTTAGGAGTCTTGGATGCCTGATAGCCATGGTGTTATTACAGTCCTCATGTGTTTTAAAATGTTTACGCTGAGATGCTACTGGAGTAGAGCTTTTATTTCCTAAGAGGATCATCCAACATGATGTCTGTCTTCTTTTCTAGGGCAACATATCTCTAAAAGAACTGAATGCCCGACCCTTAGAAGTGTTCATGTGCAGTGTGCTCAAAAGACAAGGCTATGGAGAAGGCTTCCGCTGGATGGCGCAGTACATTGATTAACTTCTACTGGCATTGGTTCCAGGGCTCACCGTTCAGGCCTACTCAAGAGATCTGATCACTCAACATGCATAACTTGAATTTAATAGACTTTGGTTGGTTAGAAAACAAATGTTTTTTAGATTATTAATATATCAAGTTAATTTGAGTGAGAATTGAAAACTGATTCAAAGAAATGTGAATATCACAATGTTAGCTTTCTAATTCCATAAAAATAATTAGTTTTTACAGTTTGTAATCTGACATGACCTCAGCGTCATTTATGAAGAGCAACTTTCCAGCAGTACACTTGAAGCACTTTTTAACAACATGAAACTACAAATATAAACCATATTTCAAAGCTCATCATGTTCAATTTTTTATGTACTTTTTGGGAACTAGTTTTTAAATTTTAGATTATATGTCCACCTATCTTAAGTATACAGTTAGCTTACTGATGACTGCATGATGCCTTACAGTTTCCGATTAATATTTTTTCTTATGCAAACGTCATGCAATAAAACAAACTCTAATGTTTGGCATCCTTGTTGGGCAAATATTTCATTTTAATGTGTCTTACTTATCTAGCTAGTGTGATTTGGAATTTGAGTATTTAGTATTATACACATGAGGGTGTTGTTGGGAAAGGATATTTGCTTCAGAATATTATGAATAATGTTTAAGTCCCCAGAGGCTTTAGCAGTTTCCAGGAGACTGTTGTCTTTGGTTGCACCTTATACTACATTTATCTTTGAATCATGTGTATTTTTATTAGTAACACTATCACCAGAGCTGATGGGGTCCATTTCTTAGGCCTTTTGGGATCAGCCTTCTACAGCAGTATGTCTCCTGGTACAACACAAGATCATTCTTTGTTTGGTAGACCCCGCAGCTCCATTCCAGTTTCTGATTCTCTGTGCCTCTTCACCAAAAGTAATGTCAAGTACCAATCTCCTCACATTTAGAGGTATCCCCAGGGCAAGCAACAAGTAGGATTTTGTGTCTGGTATTAGAGGCCTGCCTATGAGAAAAATGTCTACTCTGCTTCAGTTGTCACTGAGATGTAGATTATGCTCCTGTTCTTTAGCAGGAAGAAAATGAATGCTTGTATTTAAATTTCTTTCTTTTTAGTTGCTTCAGCTGGCTTTTACTTTACAGTACACACAAAGGCTGTTATTTTAGATACAGTGCTTGCCATGTGATAGTGTCTACCAGCCTTACTGATAAACTTACTAATAAAATTTTAGCTAACTTCTGAAGTATTTTAATTTCCTAAAAAATTTTCTTTTTTCTTATGTTGGAGAATCCCATAATTAGTAACATAAAATGAAAGATAAGTGCCAAATATGTATTTTTAAATACCTTCAAACTTGGTCATAAACCAAGCTTTTATAGTATATTTTATCAGTTCCATTAGATTGTTGCAGTTTCATCAATAAACCAAACTTGGTCATAAATCAAACTTTTATAGTATCTTTTACCAATTCCATTGGATTGTTGCAATTTCATCAATAATTTTACTATAAAAATTAATGTTTTCTTTAGCCATTGTCCAAATCAGAGTGTTATCCATTTTGTCATCACTAATGTAACATACAGAGCAGATAAGGGTCGAGGGACTGCCTCTGGTTGATACCTGTCTTCAACACGATGGGTATTTCCTAGTGTGTCTATTGTGATACTTGAAAAGTTAAATATTTGTGTCATAAATTGGTACAAAGGAACTGGCTTCTCTAGAAGGGAAAAATGCTTTTTAACGTGAAATGATCTCACTCCAGAATTCTCATTCTAGTTCTGACATTGAGATCAAAGAAACAAAACTACTTTTTGGACCACAGCTGAACTGTGGATATTTTCCCAATTATCTAAATTCTTATGGCCTGACCCTCTAGAAATGAAGATGCCCTTAGCTATGACCAGCTTTCCTCCAAGCTCCAGGGAGATGGAGCAGCAAACCACTGGGCTTGCTCTCTGGCTTTGAGGGCTTCTTAGAGCACACTGCACTGAGTCATCGATCCTCTTCAAAAGAAGGAAAGTAAGAAAACGTCAAGAAACAGAAGGTCTCAGAAAACATCTACCCTGTATGTGCCTGTGAGTATGTGTACCTATGGGTAAATGTTAGTGTTGGGGACATAGATCAATTTTGTACCTCTCACTGTAAGGTTTGAAAGTGTAGTTAACACTGTTGGGTACAAGTGAATATTGGATTTCACATAAATCTGGCAGGTACTGTTCAAAGATATTTTAAAATATTAAATTTTAAACAGTAAGAATGTAAGGTTAAGGGCTTAGCCTACTTTAATTTAAAAAAACATTTTTTTAGCTCCATACCTGTTTCAATGACTGCTGTTAATTATAATTTTGGATAACTGGTTGATAGACTGCAGTTTATCTCAGTGAAAATTTAGAATGTCGGTGACAGCTTTTAAGAAAATTGGGGGATAGACATATCTTTAAGAATATGAAAAGATATTCTCCAACTTTGGCTTAGTTGACCCAGGGTCTCTGAGTACCAAAGATGTATGAATTCATATATTGCCTGTACAGATCTAAATTTTAGTTTTGTATGCCTATGTACATAGGTAAGTTCACTGTGGCTCACAACATATAAGCAAGATTCCCCTTCTTCTCCCAGTTTTCACTTTTCTTGTGCTTCTCAGCACTACTGGAAACTTACTTGTAAATCAGTAAGATAGGACAGTCATTATAAAATAGAGTATTTCCTGCCTTGTGCAAAATGATCAGTCAGCCCCATTCAAAACCCAGCATTTTCACAAGTTCCATCATAGAAAACAGTGTATATATCTAGTCGACATGATTTGAGAGTTCAGGAAAAAGCCTTACATTTTCTGAAACTATGTTTGATATGTGACTCAATGTGACATTTCAATCTTATTTGTCTCTACATGACTGATGTTTTGAAGGATTTACTGCCAAATAAATTCTGACCAGCAAACACTGGAAACAGATAATATAAAGAGGAATCTCAAAAATATCTTGTGTTAGTTTTATTTTGAGTATATTGTTTGGATTATTTTAACGCATGGACAAGTTATTAAAGTTTGAAAAAATCTCTCATCATGAAAAAATAGACATTAGCAAATAAAAGTTATGTAATTTAATAAGAAAGTCATTGTTTTCTATAAACCTTTAATCTGGTTATAAATGTAAGAATTCAGAAAGCAGTGTTACTGTTTTATATCAAGGACTAAATGTCAATCTACTGGTCATTTCCATCATTGTCCATCTCTTTTTTAAATACAAGGTAGTGCTTTTAACAACAAGAAACAATTACAGAATAGGGACTAAGCCCCTGTGTAATATGACTGGTATCTTATTAAAGCCATTTTTCCACTCCTAAACCCTACAATTGTGCCCCTCACACACCTTCACCCAACACTGCGATAACAAGATATCCTAAGTACACAGGGAACCTACCAGTCTATGAAAGATGCAGTCCTGAACCAATTAATTTTTGCCCTCATAATGTAGAACATTCAGTAGCTAATACATTTAATAACGCTGATTTTTCAGGGCTTGACCACATTTTTAAATAGCATCCAAAGTAAGCAGTTTCAGAAGTGTCTCCCATCCCAAACTTTAGGGCAGAAATGAGAAATGAACTTGTGGGATATTACGCAGAATTAGTTTTAGAAAAACTGCACTTCCATGGATGAATTTTTTTAGCGTGCATGAGGAGATTTGATTTTAGTTTGAAATTATTTCATCGGGTAAGGGGAGTGACAGTTCTAGTTGCAGACATATAGGTTGTCTTCATCATCAAGTATAAAAAAATCATATCAGAATGGTCAACATTGTGTGGGTTTCTGTATTCCCTGTGCCGCTCCTAACCTGAACTCGTGATCAGTTGCCATGATGAGTGAGGCAAGGGTGAACATAATGAAGTTAGTTGTAAAAGTGAGCAAAGTGTCTTCCATGGTGATGCCTTCAGTATTTGGCTGAATGCAGAGTATGTTGAAGTGGTAAGTTGGTGGGAAGGTTTTCGTCCTAACCTTATTTGCACTTTTGTACACCAAACTTGCACTAGCACCTTAGTGCAAATCTTAATTGTTTTACAGTGTATGTGCATTGTTAAACATAATTTATATAAAGATATTTCTGTTTACCTCTATGTATTTTTACAAAGAATAGCTACAATAGGTTAAATGTTCTTGAATTGTTTGTATGTTATTTTGATTATGTTCTGGTTTTTGCCCCCTATGAATCTGAGTGTCAGGAATAGAAAAATAAAATGCTAACCTGGTCTTTGAAAAGTTCTCATGTTGAGTTCTATTCTTACCCAGTTGTAATATTCATTTTGCTCATTACAACTTTCTGAGGCTTCAGAATCACAACGAGATCACAACTGGAACGTCTGCTTAAGCACCAAGGCCTAATTTGTTCTTTAGACTGAAGACAGAACCTCCCTGGTGGTGCAGGGGTTAAAGCCTCTGCGCTATCAAGCTATAGCTAGCCACTGGGGATTGACTAGCTGAGTTCAATCCCCATCCAAGGAGCTGACCCATATGGCTCAGCAGACTCTCTTGTGTAGCCCACTGCTCTTGTCAGCAGTGTATTTTTTTTAGTCAATATGCCTGTTCTGCTCTCCACTCTGTTTCTGGTGAATCCTCTCACCTCTCATCCTATCACTAGCCTACACCTTAGCTCTTGTATGCAGAAATAAATCTTGGGAAAAAAATGAAAACAACTTATAGGCAAACTGAAGTGGGACTTAACATGTTCTGACTCAGCTGAAATGTGAAAAATAAGCTGAGTTTGGTTTTATCTCCATTCATTGTTCTCTAGTTTTAGTATAACATCAGACTCTTCTGGAGAACTTTGAAAATAAAAACTCACCAAAGACTTGATTCAGTAGAACTCATAGTGGGACTACAGGGCAGGAACTGGCGTCTTTATACAAGCTTCTGAAGTTTTCCTGATGGCAGAGTATGTGGATTTTTCATGAAGAAAAATTATGTAACAATACTAAATACCAATAACATTAAATGATCAGTCGCCAGTGAAGACAAAAAATGAATCATTTATGTAAAGAATCTCAAATTACTTTTTGAGTCTTTAACCATCCCATGCTCAACATACAAAAGGCCACAAACTGTGTTTAGTTCCTTAACATAACCAAATCGTGATTCTTTCACAGTTGGGTCCATCAAACTGCAGATTATTATTGATCTAGTTATTTGTTGAGTTGAAACTATAAAGCAGGGAATAATGAATGCACTGAAGGGACAAATAGCAAAAAATTTAAGTCCATTTTATTCAGTTAATGTTCTTGAATTTACTTCCAAAACCTGATACTTGTCCCAAAAGGTACAAGAAATGCAACAATCATGGCACACGTCAAGGTTAAAGGCACCTTGTTGAGAACAAGGACATCCCGGGAAAGGTGAAAATGAAGTTGGGGTGGTAGCCACAGGCTTTCCACTGAAAGATGAAAAAAACAGCTGAGAAACTTGATTGAAAACAAAGGTCCTAACGCAGGCCTCATTTCTGCCCCTAGGCCTTCAAGCAGGGTTCAGTGCGGTTCAATGAAGTGGCAAAGTTAGGGCCTGTGTTTACAAAGCCTCTTAACTTGATTTATTTAAAATTAGACACCAAGGCTCAATGTTTGTGGTAATTATTTAGTAAATAAAGTAAGACTTTGGAATGTGGATTTTGATTAGAACATTAGGGAGAACAATTTAATATGTTTGATTGAAGTCACCATGACTTCAGGGGTGGCAATCTGCCATTACAAACAGGATGATGCTGCAAAAAGGAACTGAAGAGTTTTCTTTCTGGACTGTACTGAAAGAGGCTGGCTAAGAGGTGACACAAAAAGCTCTGTGTGAATCATGTTTTGTGCTGTTTAAAGAAAGGGAGAGAGTAACTGCAGAGGAGGAACAGGTGAATAGAGAAACACTTGGGGATTAAAACAGATTTTTGTTCACTGCCTTCTAGAGCTAAAGGGAACCGAATATGAAATCCAAAGAAGTACAGTCCCACTTTATGCTGGATTAGCAACACTTCTGAAACTAGAGTCATTACAAACATGACCAAGTTACAGCGCCACCTTTAGATGGCCCCAGCCGTCTGGTTTGGGGAGCAATCTCTAGACACATCTATGTGGGAAACCAAAGATCTTCTGCAAGCTAGGGAAAGGCAAGTTGACTTTCTTCCAGAGACTAGGGACTTCTCTTCGAAGAGGACAAAGGCCAAGGGCCTGTCTTTGGGTCTGGGGCCTGACAGAAGAGCACTCGCTCTGCTGTGAGAGCTGAGCAGTTATGAACTGGTCTATAGCTCAGGGTTCCCCTGTGCGGGGACATGTCCCTGACAGCTCCTGAAAGAAGCCAGGCAATGCTGCTTCCTTTCCTGACTGCCTGGCAGCAGATGGCAGGACATGAAGCTATTTAGAGAACAGCCTGAGTTTGTCTCCACCTCAGCTTCTATTTGGAGCTGGGCTCAGCTAACTCATCAGTGCTCTGGCAGAAAGGGGGTGGTGCATTCTCTGGGGTCTCAACTGGCCTTCCTTGGAGATGCAGAGCCCTGACCCAACCAACTACTTATAAATTGGGCAGCCTTAACCCATCACCCCATTTGCAGATGCTCTGTGGGGCAAAAGGGGCAGCATCCTTCTCACCAAGGTCTCTTCATGTCTCACAAAGCTTTAAGTACAGGAAACTGTCAGCACCTGGCACTTAGCCAGTGTGCTGGGGTTAGGTTCAGATTAGGGCATTCTGCCCCATTTTCCGCCCTTTGTTTCTTCAGTCAGTCTTGTTCAGAGTATCATTTGGAGCTCTTAAATACTTGCATACTTCATGTATCTCAATGTTAGCTGTCATTTTTCTATTTGATGCTCAAGTTTTTCCATATTTGGACAGAGGGATCTCTTTCAAATTAGCTCCAGTTTCCTTTTGACATGACCCTACTAGTCCAACAATTTCCTTGCTTTCAAGCATGACAAGATAGTTCAGACATAGATTTTATTTTCTGCTCCAGACTAGATATCAGTCACTTACCCAAAAAGCCTTCATTCTTTTCCTGGGAAATGGTACTTAGGGACCACAACCTGGATACCATGACTACTTATTGTCATTATAGTCATTACTTCTAGGTCTTTTCAGTATATAGGAATGGGAAGTGCATATTTTGGGGAAGAAGATACATTTTCACATTGGTGCTTTAATTCAATTTAAACTGATAACATTTTTATATTTAATTTTCTTTTCTCTCATGTTGAAATCATCATTTCTAGTAACGCTCTCCCTCTTTCTCACACATCACGATCACCAGTGAATGTAATCTTAGTCTTTTCTGTGCTTGCTTTCATCTTTAGGTTATATTCTACTAACAAAGTCCAGCCCAAACAATGTGTTTAAATAAATATCACTTTAAATACTTTTTCTCGCTCTGGATTTCAATTTTTTAGTTTTGATTTTTCAAATTTAATTTTTAATTTATGTAAAGTATATGCATAGTTCCAAAGTTGTAATTATAAACCAAAGCTTATTTAGATAGGTCTAGTTCCTCCATATTCTCTCCTTTTCCAGAGGTAACCATTTTCATTAGATTTGGCATATACCTCTACTTTTTTTTAAATGCTCAAGTCGGCAGGCACTGAACATGTGCCTGCTGGGAACCGGCATTACAGAATGACAAGGCATCCGGAGGAGAAAGGAAAGGCGCCCCAACACCACTGAGGAGGTTTCTAGGAAGGGGACACCAGAGCTGGAACTGAAGCTCGTGGTAAGCGGATATTTTAAGTATATAGCACAGCAAAGACAGTCATGGATACAGCACAGGGCACTCAGCAATTTGGGAAGAAGTACAGCACAGAGCCTATGGAGTACTGTGTGGATAATGTACTAGAAGGAGGTGAGAGTGGAGGATGACGGGAGTGTGAGGCCTGAACTAGAATGGAGGCAAGAGAACAAAGGTGCTCCTCCTCCACCTTCCAACCTGTTTTTCAAGAGAAGTTGGTTTTATCAAATTACATTTTGTGATATCGACAATGTTTCCCAACCCAAGGCAAGTAACTCACCAAGACAGCTCAGTCATGGGACCATCTAGCTAGACATGTGTGCTTTTCTCAAAATGCCATACTGACTATGAAGCACGTGCCCAACAAGGAAGATGCTGGTTCAGAACTAAAACACAGGCCGAAACCATTGAAACAGTAGGCTTGCCACCCTACAAAACACCTGGCTCTGCACTGGGGTATGGGACTCACGGAGGACCCTAATGGGAGGGGGAGCTGGCCAGCCTCTGTGCCCTTTCTCCACAAACTTCTGACCTGGGCCTGGCTTTGCCCAAATTTTCAGAGATCTGGTGGTGGAGAGCAGAGGAGAGGAAGAACTTGCATTCTGACCCTCTAGGGAAGTGCTGAACTTGAAAAGTCTGGCGGACAGGGTATCTTAATTCATCAGATAGCCCGTTGGCCACCAGTGAACACAAGACTGGACTCAATCGCTGTGGCTACAGGGCTTGAGGGGAACTGTGATGGCCATACCAAGTTTCCAGGGACAATTAAATTTAAGGAGACCTTTCAATACAAATGTCTCAGCACTGTATTGCTTTAAAAAGAACAGGCTGGGCCCTCCCTGGTGGCACAGCAGGTTTAAAGCACAGCACCATGAAGCTATCACAGCCACTGTACCATGAGTTTGATTCCCATCCAGGGAGGTGACCCACACGGCTTAGCAGACCTCTCCTGACCTGCCCTCTGCTCTCCTCAGCAGTGCATTTCAGTAGTTCTGCCTGTTCTGCTCCCCACTCTGTCTCGGTGAATCTTACTACCATCCCTGCATCTCTGGCCTGTACCCAAGTTCTGTGTGCATAAATAAATAAATAAATAAATAAATATAAATAAATATAAACAAACAAACAAACAAACAAACAAACAAATAAATAAATAAATAAATAAAACAATCTGTCACTGGCATTCGGAGGCTAGCCTAGACAAGGGGTCTGGGTAAGATGAACTTTCTCGCCCTCCTCACATCCTGCAATTCTATCACTTGACCTGCAGAGTGGGAACCAGTATTGATGGTGCAGTTTGGGACAAGTCCCACACCTTATCTCAAATAGAAGGAGATGCTCTTGGAAGGGAAAGGAGGCCACAAGATCTCTGGGGGGTGGGAGGGGGGAGTTTGAGGGGGGTGGGTGGTTTTACACTATCCCTTTTGACATTAGCTCATTTGTGAGTTCCCACTGGATGAGATGGCCATCAGCCTGTTCACCCACTGCCTATGGCTCTTAAGCTTCCTTCTGG